TAAACATCTAGTGCTAGAGAAAAGAGGTTTAAGTCCATTCTCAGTGTATGACACCTGGTAGTTCAATGAACACTGATTCACAGGGTGCCTTAAGCAGCTGCAGCTGTGCCACTGTATTTCCTACCAGCTTCAAGTACAAGTCCATACTTTGTGTCCCTGGCCTTTCTAAAGGCAGTTATAACTTACAGGATTTTCCCCAGAGCCCACAAAACTGTCATTCTTAGATCCAAAACAGAAAGCAAGGCTTTAACACGGGCAGTATTAACAGATCTCTTTGTGGGATGCCAAAACAAGAGGGCTCAGGAATGCTACCCTAACTGTGATTACCCAAGCCTTGGAAACAATTTTGATCCAAAACAATCCCATTCATAAGAGCTTTAAGGTTCTTCCTGGCAAACAACAGGAAGTTTTAAGTTTTTTTCTACAGTACATCATGACAAAACAACATCTGTGTCTTTACGAAAAGCTCCTCTGCTTTCTCAAGTAACTGGCTGCAAGTGTCCTGTAATGGCATGGCATGGATTTCTTCTGCCTGGGAAAGGATTGCTGAAGGAGAAATCAATTCCATGGGTCCATGTTTAAGACTGGTGCCAGCCCTGAGGCTGGCTGGGACCAAAGGCATGCTGTGTGCACAAAGACCCTACATGGAACTCAGTTAGGAGAACTGTATTCACAGATTGTTTCAGGGAACAAAGAGTGCACAAACCACTGATAGTTTGGCTACTTCTCTTCTGTAGTGGAATCCAACCCTCATATTCAGGGGTTTATGCAATATTAAAAGAGGCAGGTGTGGAAAGAAAACCTGGCAACCCACTTCTGCCAAGCAGGAAGCTCTGCAGAGCACTGCAGTAGGAAATGCTAAGCACAGCACTGTGCCCAAGCTTCCCATTTTCCCCTTAAGAGCCAGAAGCAAGGTTTCAGGGAATCATCTCAATCTACTTGCAGTGCAGAACCTGTGGATTTCTTCTCCACAAAAACATCTACAAAATTCTGTAACAGATTTGAGGGGGTTCAGAGTTTGCAAAAGGCAAATTACAGGGGGTGAGCCCACACCTCAGGGCACGAGAGACCAGGAATCAACTCCTTCCTAAATCCAAGAAGGTTCAAAACTTCAACTCTCCCCTCTCTGCCCTCACACCAGCCCATGAATTACTGAAGACAAGAGCTGAAGGAACAGAAGCACTTGCCCCCTATTCAGCTGGAACTGGGACATGAAGAAAAGGGAAGGCTGACATGGTCAAGAAGCTGAACACAGAGAAGGAAGATGTGCAGAAGGGGAGGTTCTCCTCCCAGCTGTGGGTTTATTTACCCAGGGGCCCCTTCAAAAGCAAAATGCATCAAAAAGAGTGAAGGTGAAATCCCAGCACTTGCCTATACTGTTGCAAACAAGGCTGAAAAACCCTTTTTACAGGCTTTGAACAGACTGTAAGAGAGAAAACAGAGGCCTTGCCTCTGCTCCCTAAAACTGCAGGAACTGACAGCAGTACAAATGGTTAATACTTGCTATTGTGATGGTCCAAAATCACCAGGAGTGCAAAGCCTGCTGCTGTTTGGGGCTGTTACATCTGTGGCTATTTTACAGATTTACACTGGTTTTTTATCAGTTTGAAGATATTTTCAGAATTAATGCAGATAATTTCATTAACAGGATAATGATGTCTTCTAAGGAGGCTGTGCTTTTATTTCAGCAACAAGAAAAATCCTTTGTTATTATAGTCCCTTCTAATCTTTTCCGTCTCAATACAAGGGAAAATCCCTAATGCATTTTAAAGTCCAAGATTAAAATCACTTCTCACAAAGGCTAATTCTGCTTTACTTTCCTTGTATATTTTGAGAATGCCTTTCAAGAAGTAATTTTCACCGTCAACAGATCCATTTTACAAGACCTGATTCTTTTCAGTTTACAAAACATTCTTACTTGGTATATAAAGGCTGATCTGCCTATTTCAAAGTGGAAGACAGTCCATCAGAGGCATCCTTCTTTTCCTTAATGTTTAAAATTTTTTTACATGAAGACATTGTGGACCATCATCAAAAGGCAAAGAGCACAAAAGAAATGCCAAGAAATTAGAATATTAAGTCATTCCTGCAAGAGCAGATACAACTGATAAAAGGATTAGAGGGTGCTAGGAAGAATTTAATTTCCTGAACAAAATTATGTTATTATAGTAGAAATGAATATAATAATTTCAATAAGGCAAATCAGTTCTCTTACCTTCTGCAGCAGTAAAAAGGGACAGGTTCATTTGAATGTTTTCCTGCAGCCAAATCCAAGAAACCTACATCCACCCGACTCCTTTCTCTCATGAAATAAACCTGACCCACAAACCTCTCTGCCTTTCCTACCTTTATTTTTTTTCCCTTTTAATTTGTGTTTGCTGCATGGCTGGCCACATCCACCTTTGTCAGTCTACAACAGTGATTTCCTTCCTACATTGACTGAAGAAGTCTCTTGGATTCAAAGCAATGCGACACACACTGACAAGTGCATTAGGAAGAGCTCCTAGGAGAAGGGGAAAAAAAGGATCTGAGGCAGACACACCAAGTGCTCACCTTTTTTTTTGTTCAATTAATTAATAAACTGTATTTTACTAAGCAGAAAGATGGACAATGTAAAGATGCATGAGGATGGATTGCCAGATGGTATAAGGAACAGGAGGTTTAAACAAGTACAGGAAAACTGGGTCAAACCCTACTGAGGCAAACTCTTCTGAATGGGAACTTTGCCTGAATAAAATTGACAGGTCTGGCTCACTCAGGTCAGCAAAACCTGAACTTACCCACAGAAAAAAAGGACTGTATCTTCTAATACAGAGCAGAGCACAAGATTTTTACTGCCATTTTTACTACAGTGAACTGACAATACTGATATTTTCGTAAAAAGCAACATAATAAATTTATAGGGAAATTATTTCTAAGTTTTTTCTGTTGCTTCAAACAACTCTACTGTGAGTTCCTGTTTGAGAGCCAGACATAAACAAGAACTTTCCAGCACAGTTCATTAAAGACTCAGGACATGACTTCTATCCATACTTCCCTTACAAAACTGCCATCTGCTCTTAAAAATGAAGCATTGAATCAAAATCTTCCATGTTGTGGAAAAGTCTTTTGATTAATGTTAAAAAAAATTATTGGAAAGTTATTAAAACCAAGGACATTGTGTAAATCATTGAAACATCTCCCAAGCACTGTCCTTTCAGCCCTTGCAACCACCTCTGCAGGGTAAGTGCTATTACATTAATTCAATTCTACATGCTAGGAAAGAGAAAAGCTACAATGTTCAGTGACTTGCTGAGTCATTTGCACAGCTGGGAGCTGCAGTCTGGCAGTAGATAATAACCTCAAGTTGTAGAGTGTTTTCCACTTTCCTGTGTTAGTACAACTAGCAAAATGCTTTCCATTTGCTGTGGGGCCAATCTACAACCTCCTGTCAATTAAACAATGTAAGTACTATAAAATCCTAAACTACATGCAAATATACAGCTGACACAAGCAGCACACAAAGCCAAACCTAAACCTGAGGTTAATGGAAGAACCTTGACATTGGACTGAAGCAGAAGAACAAGTCCTTTACCATTATATGAAAAATCAAAAAGCATACACAGGACTAGCCAAGTGAATTATGTATTAAAAAATAGTGATAAAGCCCTGGTAACAATTCTAAAAATCTTTGCTAATGCCTTACCAGTTCTCTTTTCAGTTAATAGTTTTGATTGCCATTACCTCTTTGTGATGAGTCTAGGAACTGTTGTATTGTTTTTTAAACACACAACGGGCAGATTTTTATTTTTTTTTTTTTGTTAAAAACAACAACAAATTATTAAAGTTCTTTATAACTGTTACTAACCACACCCAGTGGGCCCTTCCAGTAGAGTGGACTGACAAATGTTGTTGTTAACACAGCCTGTAATTTCTTTGTGTCAAAAATGACTGCATGATGGAACACGCCTAATTGCAGTGTCATCATTAACTGAGTCAGAGAATGCTAGCATGTGAAATAGCAATCATCTCCTTGATAAATTCATAGAGGCTCTGTGTTAAAATACCAACAAAGTTTGTTCAGCAGATGATAGGAAATTATTTTCATGCACTTATGTAACAAAGAGAAAATGCTGAAAGAAAATCCAAGAAGGAAGTAAGTGGAGACATAAAAATGTGACTGACATGAGTTCAACTGATAATCCCCTGGAGATTCTGAACCCAAATCCTCCTTATCCCCACGATACAGCTCAGTGTGAACACCCTGCAGTCTCCCTGCGCTGCTGGCCTTGATGCAGCAGTTGTCTTCTGCTGAACAAAGCACTCACGCACACGCCTACACTGCGGCAGCTTCCAGGGATTCAGGCCTCTGCTCAACATCAAGGCAACACTTCAGTTCTTTGCTGGAGGAGGTTTCAGCAGGAGGAAAATGCAGTGATCACGGGCTACTGAAACTGAACACTCGTGCAGAACAGAATAGAAACTTGCTTGGTAAGACTAGAATGTGATTGCTGCACTTTGTGGGCAGAACTTCCAATACATGCAGGCACTGGAGCATGAATTACAGGTCAAGGGCCAAAGAAATCATCCAGCTCTGAATCTCCTTGCTTTCATGCATTTAAGATTCCAAACCAAAAGGCAATGGCAATATTAGAAATGCAGCCAAACACATCTCAAGAAACAAACAATGACCTATACTTAATCATAGTTTTGGTGACCACTCTGGAACAGCAGTGGCTCATATTGCATACAACAGACAAAAAAGTGAGCAACACTATCTTTTTCTTTAGCATGGATGTACTTAGCATATCCCTCATCTACCTCTGTGCATGCATCTACCTCATCCATGCACTGCAGCTGGTTTGCAGATGGGGAGTTATTGCTGAGAATGCCTTATTTTTCCACATGAGAAGTAACTCCATGGCACAAAGTATCTCCATTTTCTGATTCTCCCATCCTTTAGAGTCACGTCTCATCCCTCTGCTGACAGCTCTGCACTGCAATGTCCAGGAGACCCTTACCTTCCTCCAGAACTCCAGTCTGCTCAGAAGCTGGTGATGGAGGTGGGGAAGGAGGCAGGTTGGCTGACTCTTCAACTGCTAGAAATCAAACAGTGAAAATGAGATAGAATCATTAATTCCAGGAAGACCAATACATGATGTAAGCTGCACTCAGCCTGTTCTGCCCAGCTGAGGAATTATCTGATGGGGACTCATGCCTGCCAGATTTTTAGACAGACCCTTGCAGAATACATGGACTTTATAAAATAAAAGGATTTATTCTTCTGTTGTTGTTTTCTAATGGGATGAATTACGTACAAAATCCTGGTTATAGAGCACAATATAAAAATCAAATATGAGATACTCTTTTAAATCCATATTGCCTCTTAAAAAGTGTTCAATCACCCAAGGCAACAATAAAAAAGCTTATGAGCACAGAGTTATTATAAATTCACACCAACTATCAGAAACTGGCACCCAATCTCCTTAATCCACCTTGAGTACGTGAAAAAACTCCATTCTGTGCAATTTTTTTTCTTCTGCTGCGTTCAAGGTTAATAGCAGAACACATGCAAATATTGTTTGTCTAAATGCAAAAGATATCAGCACAGGGAACTTATATCAGCTGTGACATAACAGTGATTCAGCTGAGCAAGGCACAGTGAAAACTTAGATGCACTTGGACTGGGATTTACATTCATACCCAGTCATGAGACCAGATGCTGAAAATAATGTGTTTTTTTCAATTACTTCAATTCAAGTATGTTGAAATTCTAAACAAACTTCTTAAATGAACTCAGCATGACCTTTGCATTTGATCTCATACCAATAACTTAGAGAATTTTCTCTTTAAAAACAGATCCACTCCTGGGACTTAACCAATGTTTAAAAAAAAAAACCAAACAGATTTGTTTTAACAGCTCTGTCTTATCAACAGCACCTTTCAACAGGCAGATTTCAGTTTACTGTTCAGGGCTTCTTTCCAAGCATAGGCAGAATTTTTCAAAAGCCCCAACAGAATTTTCCAGGCTTCCTCCTATTGATTTCAGTGCGATTTGGAGAAGACCATATGTGACTTGTCCTTAAGATGTGCTGTTCAGGGACAGAGTATTTATAAACTCATCAAATGCATCCGACCACAGGAACTGTAACACCAACAGTTGTTAACTGAAGACATCCTTCTCACAATGCCTTTAAAATTACTTATCTGACTAGATGGAACTGAATATCCATTTTGCCTCTCCCAGGCCTGAGTGAAGTGATTTGGAGAATTGGGGTCTTCCATGTAAAACTGAGTCTCTGCAAAGAAGGGAATTACCAACCAACACATCTCCCTGCTGCAGTTCTAAGTTAGTTCAATGAAGCAAAAAACCGTGGGAACCAAATTTCCAACAAATATTCTAAATTAGTCATTGACTTTAATTCATTCCTAGGCAAGGCCAAGCACTGCACCAAAACAAGCAGATTACCACCTGTGGGGAAAACACTGCAGGGCATTGTTTTGATTTAATCACAATGAACATGCACCCAGCAGAATCTATCCCAGGACAGGCTTGCATGACTTCCTTACCTCAAGATGAAGTATGTCCTTTCTCTGGCCTTTGGTGGACATGTTTTGAGCTACTGCAAAAGTTTTCTGGCAAGGAGCAAGCACTTTAGGTACAAATGGCTTTACACCTACCTTCTTTTATAGATAGATAAGATAGATACACAGACATGTATATTTCAGAGGTATTAAACAAAGGAGGCAAGAGGAGGATGGAGACACAGCACGGACCAGTGGCATTCTTACCCCTTCCAGTACAGACTGCTGGAATTTGCTTCTACCATGTGACTCCTTCTTCCACAATCTGCCCTCACTCTGCCTGGTGCTCTCAACCTGGTGTGCCCCATTCATTCCTTTCTGCTTCCTGTGGAGGTACTTCCCCTCTATCTATTTGAGCAGCTACCACCCAACCAGCAAATCCCCACTTTCCTTTTATTTGTCACTCCATCTTTGCCTCTTCAGACCTTAATCCTTCACATGGCTGAACACAAACAGTCCCAATCAACACGATGACAAACCCTACCACCAAACACACTCATGGCTACTCAACCATGAGTCAAAACCAAGGTGGAGAAGTGCTGTTAGAGCAAACAGGGAATGAGGCAGTCACAGGGCCATGAAGAACAAGGATCCTGCTATAATCCTGTGGTCCCAGCATTTATCCAGTGGTGTCTATGGTTTACAACCACAACCATAAGCAACGTGAATGCACAGCTGGAACTGCATTTTTTAATATACATACAGACATCTGCAGACACAAGGATACCTGGAACATTCTTTGTCTCATTTTACCTAAAGGTAGTGATCCAGGCTGATCTTTGTGCTGGGCTTCTTTTTCCTGTTCACCTTTCAGGACTGCTACAGCTTCAGCTGTTACTACTTGTACTATCCTTGCAGACACTTCTTCTGTGGCAGCAGCAAAGTCAGAAAAAAAGAAAGAAAAGCATACTGATCAGAATGGTGTTTTGAAATCAGAAAGATTAGCTTAAACAATAAAAAACCAGAGGCTGATTTAATCCATTTTTAAAAGGTAATCTTTTTTCCTGAAATATAAGGAAATCATTAAAAATAAAAGAGAAGGACCAGATATTCCAAAGGTTTCAGTGGAAAATGCCAAGTATTTATAAAAATCAGGAGCTTGCTCTAATCAGGATGCACAAAGCATCATTATTAAATGTTCTTTCTATTAGGGACAATGTGCAGCAACTGCAATATTTTAAGACAATCATTTTTAAATGTCTAGAAAAATGTCTGCAGGTATTGTTTTGCAAACAAGGATAGAATGGGCAGCTGAGCAATGTAATTTTTTGACATTTAATATACAAAGTTAGCTGCATTCCAACATGCCCTTTGGACTCTAATTCCTCCTCAGCAGCACACAGTATGCATTAAAGGCACTTCCCAGACAGCCATCTATGCTGCTGAGGGACTTGAAGGGCCAAATAGCATTCTTGCATGGTTAAAATCAATACTTCATCTTCTTCACCCCTTTGAAGGCTGCCACACAAAGCTTTATTTAAACAGTAGGTGTGAGTACCATGCAGAGGGATGGCAGAGATGACATTTTTTTGGTGGAATGGGCTCCTTGCTGCTGGCCCCCAAGCTGCTCTGTGCATGGAGCTGACTCAGGCACTGCATGCTTGACAGAGCTGGGTGCCACAGATCCCACACTCTGCTCTTCCCCACTGCCCACAAGCTGTAGCACACCAGAGAAGGGCTGGGAAGGGGCTGCTCTAGTGAGCAGAATGTAGTAGTAGGACCACTCAAGGAGTGAATGCTTCCAAACTGAGAAACTGTCTCAACTTGACTCCAAACCCACTCAAAGGTGCAGTGAAACCTCATCAGGCACACAGATGCATATGGAAGCAACCAGAGAAGTTTCCTCCCCTCTGGAAGTTCAGGTGCCTTTGATGTAACAAATCAAGATGGTAAGGGCTGGTCCAGCAACATTCAGAGAGCAAAGGGTTTGTGGTTCTTATCTGTATGTGAGTCTGCTCTCCCTTAGTCATTAATCAATGTATTTCTCTCTCTCAGCCAAGCTCAGAGGAAATAAACTCCTTCCCTCTCCAGCTATATCCAAGTGCTGTCTGACAGCTGTTCCCAACACAATGGAGCTGACCCCCAGGGAAGGCCACAAGCTGCACAGTCACAACCCACCAGCTGCACAGCTGGGCACACCTGGGAACAGAGCAAAACTTGACTGCTTCTCTAGCCCTTGTGTGGAGACAGAGGTTTGTAATGGCAGATGTCAATACACCCTGCTCCTGCCAGAGCCCCCATTAGTCACCATCCTGAGGGCAGGAATAAAAGCTCTGCTCACTCATTACCACATCCTTCAGGCAAGAACTGGCTGGGAAGGACAAGTATGTTTAAATCAATGCCCTACATGTAACTTCACAGCAACCACTCTGACAAGGGACTGTCCATTAGATTAATAATGATTTATTTTCACAGTTACTCTTACAGAATTCCCTTGTACTTTTAATGTGAAGCTATTCCTCTTCATTTGTCCTTTAGAAAAGCCAATTGTTTTTCCTAAAAAACACAGATGTGAATTGCCACAGCCATGTTTGTCTAAAACCAAAGTGCTAGGTTAATCTTTCTTTTACACAAACTATTTAATGGGATATTAAAAATCCCCACCCACTGGCAAAGAACATTCCTAATTGTTGGTGTTTATACCCTACAATTCACTGCACTCCTGGCTGGTTACCTGGAGGGCAGTGACTGCAACAGTTCCATTGGCTGCTGCCAACAGCAAAAGTAGATAGAGGAATACACCAGAACAACTACCAAGCAATGAAAAAAACAAGCTGATTTGAAAAACATGAATTTGAAAAAACATTTGAAATACATGGATATAAACTTGAGGATAAATTCAGATTAGAAATTTAAAGATGCTGCTTTCCTGCTGTCAGGGGTGAGAAGTTCTGGCAGCCTTCCACATTGGAAGAAATAAATCAAGTGTTTTTGAGATGAGGCTACGTATGATAAAGGTGCCTGTAGGAGGAGAATACGAATAGCAGCTCTAGTTCTGCTCTTCTGTTTAACAACACATCCCTAGTATGAGATCAAAGTCCCCTCTGTGGTTAAGCAGATCAAATGGAGCACCATAACCCCACCAATCAAGTCATGCATGTGGCCAGTCCTATAGATCAAAGAACAGGGATATTGATTTAAAGCCCAGCAATCCTCCCAGCTGCCTTTCAGGGGCCTGCACCTCATTTTGGGGCTTTGCACCTCATTTTGGGCTGCTTCCACACTTGCTGGATGCTGGGGGTGCTTCTTGCCACCTCTTGGTTCCTACCTCGCGTGAGAAACACAAAGCAGACACTTCCCAGACCTCCCAGACTCTCACATGGTGCTGCTGCTGCTGCAGACCAGTGGACTGGACAGAAATGTGGAATCCTTACAGGTCCTGACAGCTCCCTGTGTTGTGAGGCACAGGCAGCCTGCAAAGCACGATCTGGGAAAGCCTGGGAGAAGGAATCTGCAGCATGGCCCATCCTGCTCCTGGGGCCCTCCCCACACCACAGCTTGCTGCAGCACCTTCCATGGGCTGGGGAGAGACAAACTCCTCTTCTTCCACAAAGCAAACTTGGATAGCTGGTGTATCCCTGTTCAGATTCTGCTCTTTCAGAGCAGGAAAGAGCATCACCCTGACAGCTCTAGTGAGGAGGACAGCACAGAGCTTCACTGAGTGCTGCAGCTACAGAAGACCCCACACCAATTCCTGCCACCTGAAGGATGTGACACATGGCCCTCCTGTCAAAACTTCCACCAAGCTACTAATGACAACATCATCAAGACTGTACTATTGGCTCAGATGAACAAATCAAGACTCCATGAGGGAGATTGTTAAAAGAATCCATTTTTGAAGCTTATGTTCACGTGAAAATTTTAACGAAAGGCTCCAATTAATTTCTGATATAGAATATGCAAACCTCTATCAGGTTTAGTACTCTGGAGCATATCCAAAGGAAATCCCCTTGGTCAACTGCTTTCCATGAGCCAAGCAACCCTCCTCCCAGCAGGGTAAAGATAAATCATTAAAAACTGCCTCCTTTTTAATAGAATTTATACTTGTTCCCATCCAGCCTGGTTCTCTACCACAAATGGACTCTACAAGCTCAGAAAACAGTTCTCACCCTCTCAGCTCTCTTCCTGATTTAATTTGCTTGGGACAAAGATAATGCTCCACAGGGAGCTATGAGGGAGGGTGAAAGGTTGTCTCCAGTTAAATAGAAATTTCTATTTCAGGCTACGCAAAATAAGTAAATAAAAATAAAAATGGCCTCTGGGCTTCTATGTTTTGTCCCGTTTGTTTTGTTTGGCAGTGTTCTTTAATCAAGAAAGGCTTATTTCTGAACACTCTGCTGATGGATATTTTGGGTGACACAGGGGGCATGGGCAGTTCATCAGAACAGTGCTTTTGCCATACATGACTGCTGCAAAAGGACAGACTTCTCTGTACTAATGGACACTATAAATAGAAGATCCAGTGGGTAAGTCAAATCCTCACAGGGCTGCTATTGAGACTTTTCATAGTTTTCTTATGGTTCAGTTAAAGTTCAAGGCAGCCTAATGATAAAGAACATACAAACAAAAAAACCAAGACCAAAGACCAAAAAAAAAAGGGAAAATTAGGCAGCTTGAATGCTGTGGATGCTGGGCTATCTATTCACCAGACATGGTTTTGCTTGTAGACATTAATTTTCCCTCTCTTTAAACAGGCAGACTCTCTCTGACTCTACTTCATGCCACAGAAACGACATTAACATCCAAAACAATTTACAACAAATAGATTTATTTCTTAAAAGCAACAAGGAGCATGGCTTTACCTTAGACTCCAGCAGAACAAAGAACAGCAACATGCCTTTTTTGCATTTTGTAGATGTTGCTCCTTTTACCAAGATGCCAGCTGTTCATGGTACAGGACACAGAATGAGCTTCACAGCTTGATTTTAGGGAATACAGAAACCTAAGGTATAGGCAGCCCTTGAATGGGATGTCCATAACAGAGGGAAAACACAGTGAAAACCCTCAGCATGAGCTCTTCAAAGCCCTGACAAGGAGCAGGCTGAGCTGAGAGGCCAGGGCTGACACACCAGGATGGCAGTTCTGCTGCTCCCTCAAAGGTCACTTCAGACCACACTCCAGCAGGGCTGCCAGGTCACCTCTGGCCAGCTGCTGCCAGTGCCACGGCTCTTCTGTGGCAGGCACAGAGGACAGACCCTGTCTGGGGCACTACACTAATTTAAACCAAAGTTAAAACTCAAATGAACTAAGCACTCTGTGTTCCTGGTTTTGGAAGTCAGCCCAATTCTTCTCCCAACCCCAGCATACCAAATCAGGAGATCAGCAATCTCCATGTCCCAGGGATGACTTGGGGACACAAACCCTTTCCAGAGTACTGAGATGCACAGAGGATGCTGAACCAGCTGTGATGGGGAGCCACAGCCTTCCCTCTTGGTTTAGAAGACCTGCTGCCCTCCTCACAAGTACACCCACAGGCACAGGAGCTGCCCAATCCCCAGCCCAGCCACTCCAGCACTGAGAATTACACTGAAGCAGGTGTAATTCCAACTTGAAATTCTTCATTCCTGCACTCCCTCCTGATAGCTGAGCCCCCTTCCCAGACAGAGACTCAGACAGGGGCTGGTAAATGAGGTTACATGCCAAAGACTGGCTACAGCACAATGCAGTATCTGGGATCAGATCCTGTACAAGGCCAAGATGTAATTTCAAAGCTCTCCTTGGTTCCTTATTGATCCTGCTGCATTTGTCATTGGACTGCAGATGTCTCCACTGGCACATTACCTACAATACTTCTATTTCCCATGACAGCTTTCCATTCCATTAACTTTTATAACAGACATGTTTACCAGCCCCAGAGACAGATATAC